CTTCCTTTTTATGGCCAAATAATATTCCATTGTTTATATAGACCACGTTTTGTTTATCCATTCATCTGTTGATGGACATTTGGGTTGTTTCCACCTTGGCTATTGTGACTAGTGCTGCTGTGAACATGGGTGTATGAGTTTTTGTGTGAACACATGTTTTCAATTCTTTTGAGTACATAGCCAGAAGTACAATTGCTAGGTTATATGGTAACTGTATTTAACTCATTGAGGAACCATCAAAGTAGCTCTTTTTTCCTTTTAATTGTGAACACTGTTAGTCAGCTTTCTGTTACTGTAAGAAAATTCCTGGGATAATCAGATTATAAAGAGCAGAAGAGGGTTGTTTTGGCTCACAGATTTTCAGCTTTCAGCCCATGATTGTCATGCCAGAGCAAAATCAGTCACCTCATCACACAGAAGCCAAAAAAAAAAGGAAGAGAAAAAGAAACACAAGGGTGCCACTATCCACTTTGAGGGCACACTCCCAATGACCTCTTTTTTTTAATTTTTATTTTTTTATTATTCATATGTGCATACAATGCTTGGGTCATTTCTACCCCTGCCCCCACTCCCTCCCTTACCACCCGCTCCGCCCCCTCCTTGTCCTCCCCCACCACCTCAATACCCAGCAGAAACTATTTTGCCCTTATTTCTAATGTTGTTGTAGAGAGAGTATAAGCAATAATAGGAAGGAACAAGGGATTTTGCTGGTTGAGATAAGGATAGCTATACAGGGCGTTGACTCACATTGATTTCCTGTGCGTGTGTGTTACCTTCTAGGTTAATTCTTTTTGATCTCACCTTTTCTCTAGTTCCTGGTCCCCTTCTGCTATTGGCCTCAGTTGCTTTTAAGGTATCTGCTTTAGTTTCTCTGCGTTAAGGGCAACAAATGCTAGCTTTTTTTAGGTGTCTTACTATCCTCACCCTCCCTTGTGTGCTCTCGCTTTTATCATGTGCTCAAAGTCCAATCCCATTGTTGTGTTTGCCCTTGATCTAATGTCCACATATGAGGGAGAACATATGATTTTTGGTCTTTTGGGCCAGGCTAACCTCACTCAGAATGATGTTCTCCAATTTCATCCATTTACCAGTGAATGATAACATTTCGTTCTTCTTCATGGCTGCATAAAATTCCATTGTGTATAGATACCACATTTTCTTAATCCATTCGTCAGTGCTGGGGCATCTTGGCTGTTTCCATAACTTGGCTATTGTGAATAGTGCCGCAATAAACATGGGTGTGGCAGGTGCTCTGGAGTAACCTGTGTCACAGTCTTTGGGTATATCCCCAAGAGTGGTATTGCTGGATCAAATGGTAGATCAATGTTTAGATTTTTAAGTAGTCTCCAAATTTTTTTCCAGAGTGGTTGTACTAGTCCACATTCCCACCAACAGTGTAAGAGGGTTCCTTTTTCCCCGCATCCTCGCCAACACCTGTTGTTAGTGGTATCGCTGATGATGGCTGTTCTAACAGGGGTGAGGTGGAATCTTAATGCGGTTTTAATTTGCATTTCTTTTATTGCTAGAGATGGTGAGCATTTTTCATGTGTTTTCTGGCCATTTGAATTTCTTCTTTTGAGAAAGTTCTGTTTAGTTCACTTGCCCATTGCTTTATTGGTTCATTAGTTTTGGGAGAATTTAGTTTTTTAAGTTCCCTGTATATTCTGGTCATCAGTCCTTTGTCTGATGTATAGCTGGCAAATATTTTCTCCCACTCTGTGGGTGTTCTCTTCAGTTTAGAGACCATTTCTTTTGATGAACAGAAGCTTTTTAGTTTTATGAGGTCCCATTTATCTATGCTGTCTCTTAGTTGCTGTGCTGCTGGGGTTCCATTGAGAAAGTTCTTACCTATACCTACTAACTCCAGAGTATTTCCTACTCTTTCCTGTATCAACTTTAGAGTTTGTGGTCTGACATTAAGATCCTTGATTCCCAATGACCTCTTAAAGGTCTCATCACCTCCCAGTACCATCCTCCTAGGGACCAAGCCTCAAACACATGGGCCTTTAAGAGACATTTAAGATCCAAACTCTAGCAAGCACTATAAATTGTACAGACAGCAGAAAGAATAGTCTAATGAATCCCAGGTCCCTACCTCCCAGGCTTAGCAACAGCCACCATCTTGCCTTATTTCTTTCATCCTTTTCAGTTTGGTGTTTTGCTTTGTTTTTCTGGAATGGTTTAAAGTGGGTTCATGCCAGTTCTTCCTCAAGTGCTTCAATATACATTTCTTTAAAAGGACGTTTTTTTCCAAGACCCAGTGCCATTATCCACCCAACACATGAGCACTAAAGGTCACCTACTGTCCTCTGATGGCCACTGCATAGTCACTGGCCTCCCATCATTCTCAGTGCCCTTGATGACTCTTTCATTCATGTCAGCATCTTAACGGAGGACCCCTGTTGTGTTTGGGTGTTGTGCCCCTTAAACTCTTTTCATCTAGAAGGGTCTTCCTCCCCAGCCTTCTTTTTCCCCATGACACTGATTTTCAGAGGAGACTGGGCCAGTTGCTCTGTGGAAGAGCCCACCTAGATCCGGCAGGCGGCTTCCTTATCGTGTTTAACTGGTGACTCTGTCCCCATGATCCTCTGAACACTAGACATTGATTGCAAAGGCCACATTAGGATGCAGTCAGATGGCTTTGGTGAGAGTCCTTTCCTTGCTTCCTGGCAGCAGGTCTGGGCCGCCCTCTGCTCCACAATTAGGTTAGCGTTCTCTCTTTCCACCAGCAACCAGGGCATAACATTTTGATGTGCAATGCCCCAATCTCCCTCGGTCTTTCACCTAATGGGTCTGGCCTCTCTTCCATCTTAATGGATCCTTTTTCTAATTAATATAAATGTCCTTATCAGAAACATGACTTTATTTTTAGTCAATGTTGATTGACAGTTCACATCATGGATGGTAAGGGATTTGGAAGTGATTTAAATGCCAAGTGAATACTATGGCTGTTCCCATGTTCCTGGGACCCTGTCTTCTCTCCCTCTCATGTGGTCTTGTTGTTGACACAAACAAGCTATAGCCACCAATCAGAACATAAATAAAAGATCTCTTGATCCACTCCCCTTCCTAGGTACTGCCTGGTTTCTCTGCTTCTCCAAGCAGGACCTTCATGTTGTTGGTCTCAAGTGAGATAGAAGTAACATTCTTGGAGCAACTGCTCTTTCACCTGACTCTTCTGCCATTTAGAACTGATGTGAAGCCAGGCACCAGTGGCGCATGCCTGTAATCCTAGCTACTCAGGAGGCAGAGATCAGGGGTATTTGGGTTCAAAGCCAGTCCGGGCAAATAGCTCATGAGACACTATCTCAAAAATACCCATCACAAAAAGGGCTGGCGGAGTGGCTCAAGGTGTAGGACCTGAGTTCAAATCCCAGTACCACTGAAAAAAAAAAAGAACTGATGTGAGGAAGTCGGAGGCCAAGTTGAGTTGATTTTTGTCCAGTTTGTCTGTTTCACACTTGTTCTCTTGTGTGCCCACCCTCTCAATTCTCACCAATACAAACACGAGCTCAGGCCCCCTGAGGGCTAGGGTATGTGCCCCAAGCATGCTACTGTCTTGGCACACTTGCAACCTTTAGTTCTCCACCTGATAATCACGCCTTCAGAGAGCCCTTCCCCTGCTCCTGTAGGTCCTTCCTTTACTGTGCCTCCCACCAGCCTGCTGCTCTCTTTGTGCTTGCTAGCCAGTCTCAGTTTGCAGGTGGAGGTCATACATGTGCATTTGGAGTTTTTCTATAGGAATCCAGACCCAAGGAGAAATGGGATCAGCAATGGAGCTCCCAGGAATAGCTGGAAAGCTGGGACTGGGGGTGCTGGGAAGACGGAAAGAGAGCTAAGGAAAGGAATGAAATGAAAAAAGAAAGAAAGGCTGGTCAGGCAGGCTCCCTGCACAAGAAGTAGGTATGGGATCCCTGGCTGATGGCCCACCAATTTGGGAGAGAAGAGGGCCTAGAAGCCCAGTTTGGGAATGTATTGGGGGCTCTGTTGTGTCCTCCCTCAAAGAAAAAAGATACGTTGATGTTCTCTTTCCAGCTACCTGTGAAAGTACCCTTATTTAGAAATATGATATTTTCAGATGTAATCAAGGTAAGATGAGGTTATACTGAAGTAAAGTATCCAATGACTGATGTACTTATAAGATGAGAGAAATTTGGAGCCAGATACACAGACTGAACACAGCCATGTGAAGATGCAGGCAGAAATTCAGTAATGCAGCCACAAGCCAAGGATTGCTGGTGACCACTACAAGCTGGAAGAAGCAAGGAAGGACCTGGGCGGGGGGGCCTGCCAGCAACTAAATCTCTGACTCCTGGTCTCCAGAACTGAGACAGAATACGTACACATGTGCAGTCTTAAGCCTCCCCTACCCCAGTGTGTGGTGCTTTGTTATGGCAGCTCCAGGAAACCATTTGGAAGGTTCAATGGTCAGGAGACTCAGTGAAGTGACAAGAGTGAGAAGGCCCATTGCCTCTCCCTGAAAGGAGACTGCAGGCAGTGGATGCCCAGGCACTGTGCCCATGGGCCGCTTAGGAACAGATCACTCCTCTCTCCCTGCCCCATCTCACTCAGGCTTACCACAGCCCAGCCTTGTTTGGCACCATTCGACAAGAATAAACAAACAGGTTTTGAAACAAGTCACAGTTGGCTTCTGAGCAGCCAGTGGCTACCCCAAGTTGACCTAGTCTCACCAAGGCTCTTTGCACTTCCCTCAGCATCTCAACGGCGGTGTGGCAGAGCTCTGGCAATGGCAGCCATCCTCCTGAGAACAAGGCCCAAGGTGAGTGGGTGTCCCTCTGTTGATGCCCTAACATCTCCCCTTAGCAGTTCTCCTTCTGCCCCTCCATATGGACCTGCGCCTCTCCAGCCAGGGGAGAGCTTAGGCCACCCTGAGCATCATGAGCCTTTCCTGACTTCCACTCTAACCATCCAATTTCCATCAGCTCCTCTTTCCTGAATAATGCTTGCAGCTGAGCCTCCCCTACTTGCTGAATTCTCCAATGGCAGAGGCACCCCATGTTTTATTGCTGCTAGCTCACCCTGGAATCCGGGAACCTGAATTCCTTACAACAACCAGACTGGTTTATTTTAGGTGCCAATATCTTTTGAGGACGTGTCTGTGTCCTTCACAAAGACAGAATGGAAACTTCTGGACCTTAAACAAAGGGTCCTCTACAAGCAGGTGATGCTGGAGAACTACAGCCATTTGGTGTCACTGGGTAAGTGACCCCACCATATACACACATCTAATCCCACCTATCTGTCTCTGGACTCAATTTCTTTATGAATTTCCTTGCTTGTTACTATGAGCCCAAGAATACATGCATTTCTCCATCCAACCAGTAACTGTTATAATCCAGCTATGGTCTCAATAGGAGTTTTCAGCTAAATGGTTTGGACCTATAAATGCTTTAGGTAAATGTGTGGGCTTGTAACATCCCATCAGACTAATTTTACATTTAAAAGCATGGATTGACTAAACATCTTTCTACTTTTAAGGACAGGTGCCAATTATACTGGAATATTTAAATGCATACTTTTACACTCATCCTCCTATATAGAATTTAGCACCATCTTTTTCTTGAATCAGCCAGGAGATCCTATGGGAGGGCAAGGCGGTACCCTTGGTTTTCAAGCCTAGGGAAATCTATAAAGGAGCTGGGGTAACTACAAGTGGGCAGCTCTCCTAACATGCTCCCCATCTCCCACCTTTATCACACCTACAAAAGTTGTCATTTTTGCCAATTAAAGGGCGAAAACCAAGATTCACAGGCTGGTTGGGCAGGAGAGAGCTCGGAAGCACTGAGAGTGTAAGTGACATTGATGTGCCTGCCTTCTGCCTCTAAGACAAGAGCCCAGGAATGGGCCTGTTCCTACCAGGTAGCCCAGCGTATTGTCAGATGCAGCCCAGTTCTGGCCTTCCTCTTCTCAGGCATCTTCCTTGCTGCCAAGAATGGACTGTAAATACAGAGGTAGCTCCTCCACGGCACCCCACTGCATTTGGGGTTGGGGGGGCGTTTGATACTGAGTCCTCCTCCCTTTCTGCCTTCCCACTCTACAGACTTCACCTCTGTAATCTGACCCTGTACTCTCTGACCCTTACCAGACAGATAGGGACATGTCTCTTTCAGGGAGACTTCCAGAAGTCTCAGTTGAATTGGATTGTGAAACAGGGCAGCTTTTGAAGCGTATAGGCGACCTTTCTCTGGACCTTCCCAGTGGCACTTCCTAGAGAGGTCCTTGTTCTCTGTTATCTCAGGAATGACTGTCCTTAACTAGAGTGGTGCTGACCTTCTGTTTCCATCAACAGGATTTGCCTTCTCTAAGCCTCACCTGGTGTCCAGGCTGGAGCAAGGGGAGGGGCCCTGGGTAGCAGACCTCTGCAGAACTGGAGCTGTGACGGGATCACACGCAGGTGAGTGAGGGATCCTCAGCCTGCTTGCCTGAGGATGGTGTGGTGCTTGGTCACCTTGGGCGGGAAATTCTCCTTACTGGCAGCTGGCAGCCTCTCCAGGGCTTCCCTCTCTTCCTGGTGGGGAAGGGAGAGCCTCCCCTCCTTCCCTTTCTGTTTGTTCTCTCATCAGCCGGTATGATGGTTTTCTACCTTGAGGTCATCTTGCTCCTCCCGACATTCCCATGTCCTGCTCAGCTCTTCCCAGCCTTGGCATGAGAGTGAAGAGCAAAACCCTCAATAGAGACCAAAAGGGAGGGGTGGCACTGGTTGGAGCGCTCTGTCTTTGCAGGTGACAGGGTAAAGAGCAAGACGCCGATTTCAAAGTCGAGACAGTCTGGAAGAGGACTCCCAGGGACTCACCTTCTTAGCGGAAAGGAAGGCCAGGGGGCGAGGTCGCCTCCACAGCTAGGTGATACCTCAGGAGCGCCAGCCCAGAGAAGTCCCCATGGCTTCCAGCAGAATCCCGTTCTACGGCAGCAGCGCTCCAAGGGCGCGGATAAACGGTACCTGTGCCAGCAGTGCGGGAAATCGTTCAGCCGCAGCTCCAACCTGATCAAGCACCGCATCATCCACAGCGGCGAGAAGCCCTATGCGTGCGGGGAGTGCGGGAAGCTGTTCCGGCGTAGCTTCGCGCTGCTGGAGCACCAGCGCATCCACAGCGGCGAGAAGCCTTACGCGTGCAGCGATTGCGGCAAGACCTTCACGCGCAGCTCCAACCTGATCAAGCACCAGATCATCCACAGCGGCGAGAAGCCCTTCGCCTGCGGCGAGTGCGGGAAGCTGTTCCGGCGTAGCTTCGCGCTGCTGGAGCACCAGCGCATCCACAGCGGCGAGCGGCCGTTCGCGTGCAGCGAGTGCGGCAAGGCCTTCAGCCGCAGCTCCAACCTCATCGAGCACCAGCGCACGCACAGCGGCCAGAAGCCCTACGCCTGCCCCGAGTGCGGCAAGGCCTTCAAGGGCGTCTCGCAGCTCATCCACCACCAGCGCAGCCACAGCGGCGAGAAGCCCTTCGCGTGCCAGGAGTGCGGCAAGGCCTTCCGCGGCCGCTCTGGCCTCAGCCAGCACCGGCGGGTGCACAGCGGCGAGAAGCCGTACGAGTGCAGCGAGTGCGGCAAGGCCTTCAGCCGCAGAGCCAACCTCTTCAAGCACCAGGCGGTGCACGGCGGGGTGCGGGCCTCCGAGCGCCGGGGCCGCGGGAAGGGGCTGCGGCGCGGGTGCATGCTGCTGGAGCAGCGGCGGGGGCCGCGCGGGCCGCGGCCCCAAGAGGGAGGGGAGGGCAGCCCCGCGGAGCCGCGGCCGAGCCGTGGCAGCCAGAAGCCCCACGTGTGTGGGCACTGCGGCCAGGCCTTCGAGAGCAAGTCACAGCTGAGTGGCCACCTGCGCGCCCAGGGCGGCGAGAAGCCCCATGTGGGCGGCCAGAGAGCGGCAGCTGTGGAGGGGAAGTCACCGTCACCGCTCAGCCACCATCTGCAAGCTGCACCCATCGAGGGAAGCGACGGTGGCCACAGTGCCGGCCTCCTGTGCCCTGAGAAGACCCAGGACAGAGCCTGTCCCTTCGGCGGGAGACAGGGCGGTGACTCCTAGTGGGAGGGCGCGCCCTTCCCCGAGTGCAGTCTGCCCCTCCTTCCCCAGTGGGTGGAAAGTGCGGACCCTCCCTCCCCCAGTCCTTGATGTTGCAATTGCCGCATAGGGACTGTCCCGGGCCCACCTGCTTGTCCCTGGGCCCACCGCAGGCCACGTGTGCGTGCCGAGAGGCGCCAGGTGAGCGACTTGCGTATGCCGAGTCGCTCTCCCAGCTGCTGGATCGCGGTCCGGTTCGGGTCGCAAGCAGCCGCGTAGAGCCCGCTCCGGGCGCGCTTGAGTTTACAGAGGGATGGATGGCCTATGCCCTCGCTCGTGGGTGGGTTGTTCACCTTCCCCGAAGAGTTGTTAGTGTTTCCAGGTAGAAGATACTAAAAGCACTTTAATCCACTTAGAGCTTACAAATGGGGCTCTAAAGTTAGCCTGCTGCTTTGCCAGAAGGCACAGGGCACCCAGCTGTCCCTTAGCCCTGACCAAAAAGGTCTACAGGCCTCCGGGGAAAGATAGCGGGTTGCGCCCTGCCCAGGCGCCTTCTGCTGCTTTTTGGGGGAGCTGCACCTAGCCCCATCATCTCAGAGGTGGGGTTCTGGGAAGTGGCTGGCCTGGCCCCTGCAGAAAGGATAAGACCCAGGGATCCTGAGCTTCTTGGTTTTGGTAGAGGAGCCTTTTCCCATGGTCCCTCCTAAGAGTGGGCTCTGGGCAATATGTGGTAACGGACTTCTGCCATGCTCCTGGCTTCAGAGTCCTTTCTGTCCACCCAGCAAAGGCTGTCAGAGCCTGTTGTACCCCCACTCCAAGCTTCAAATTTATCTGCTGCTCCCCTTTCAGGCACCCTCCTTGTGGCAGTGACTACTGGGAGGAGAGCAAGGCAGGGTAGAGATTTGCACTTTCGCAAGCCCTGAATTGCATTTGGGCAACAGGGTGGCTGCCTTTCACATGACATTTCTTAGAACATTGCAGGTGCTGTTGCTTTAATGTTTTTGTATTCAGGGTTAATGTAAGTTGAAAATGGAGATTTTTGCCATATGAGAATGTCAGGGAATCACTCCTTAAATGAGAAGTCCTCATTTAAGTCCCTCATCTGGGAGGGAAGTGTAGCTCAGTGGTGGAGTACTTGCCCTGGGTTGCATCTACAGCAACACACGCACACACACACACACACACACACACACACACACACACTCCTTCCCCAACCTCTGAAAAGACCTCAGGCAGGAGAAAGGAGGCCTTTCCAGGCTCACATCTAATGAGTGTGGTGGCAAGCCTGGCCCCTCTTCTCCCCTCAGCCCTGCAGAGGCAGGGTGACCCTTTTAAATGGCACTTTAGTGAAAGCCAAGGGGAGTTCTCAAGTGAAAGTTTGTGGATAGCCAGAGGCAGCTGCCAGTAGGCACTGCCCTATCTCACCCATGCTGTCCCCAGAGGCCCAGAAGTTCTTCCCCTTGGTGCTCTCAGCCTAGTGTCCTAGTCAGCCAGCCACTTTCCAGCCCTCTCCACTCCCAGGGGAGAGTGGGACTTTGTCATACATACATAAAGGCAGGCAGGTGGTAAGTGTGGTGGAGAACACCCATGGGGACTCTGAGCTACACTTCCCTCCCAGAAGAAGTGGTTCAAAACCTTCTGCCAGGACAGTGTGGGAAGCCCTGGATACCCAGGATTCCTTCTGAGAGTGCTGCCTGGAGCTCTAGTCACTAGAATAATTCCAGAAATTTTATAAACACACAACATACATATGCAGATATATGTTTTATATATAAAGTGTTTTATGGAAAGTTCCAGAGTTCTTACAACTTGCTCTTGTCTCAGCCTCCTCCAATGGATTCCTGTCCCCTTGTTCTATAATTGCCTTGTTGTCTGTAAGCTGCCCCATAAGCCTGCTGCTGTGTGTCGTGCTGACACTGGTGAGCGCATGGGAAATGAGTATTGTTCTCCTAGCACATTGGACTCAGCCTTACCCGGAGGCAGTCCAAAGTATCTTCAACTGTGGGTTTTCAAGAAGAAAAAGAAGTAGTAGCAACAGTGTGTTTTAAGTCCCTGGTGAAGTAATTGGGCAGATTGGTTTTTTCTGAGGTTCATACCATCTCTGCTAAGGCTAACACAGATACAGGAAACCAGTCAACTGGGAAGTTGTGTGCATGGACTCCATCACATGCATTCTAGTGTGCATTTCTGTCCCTCTAGGAATGAATGATTCAGTTCCTACAAGCTAGTCACCAGCTTCTACTGAGGTAGAGTTGGCTCTCCCCAGTACAATGGCATTCCATTGGTTCCAGCAGAGACATGAAGTCTATTTGAAGCATAAGCATGTTCTTTACCTTGGTCTTATGCCTAAGGATGACTTGCTACAGGAAGGAATGTGTGCGTTCATTTTCAGCAGAAAGTGGGTCTGCCAAGAAAGCCTTGGGGCAAACTGAACTCCCAAGTCATTAGAGTGCCCTGAAAAACTCCAGGGTACCAAATGCTTGCCTAGATAAATGACAGCACATATTTTTGCTTATCAGTTTTCACTGCAAGGTGATTATGAGTAGCCATTTCTTTCAGGTACCATAATTGGGTATGTAGCATGAACTGATCCTGATCAGGTTTTGCATGGAATAAAAGAGTGCCTTGAAAGAACGTATACCTTTCTTCCTATGGTGCCTGGGAATTGGGCCTCATCCCCCTGCTGTGTGGGGAATGGGGATGATGGCTCACACTTGTTTTGGAAGGAAGAGTAAAGTGTAAAAGCTTAAACTATTGAGAAAAGTCCTGTTGCTTTCCAGTCCTTCCTCCATCTGCTGCCCTCCCATCCCCTCACCAAGAACTTCCCTGGATGCCAATCTTGCACCCTTTTGCCTTCCGACCATTTACCCTTTGAAACTTTGGATTCTTTTCAAGAGTTGTGTAAGTGCTGTAACAGTGTCTCCATGCAGCTGGTAAATAAATGTCCTGTCTGAATTCAGTGTAAAGTAGGACTGTTCTCATTTCTGTTAGTTGCAAGTAAGGAAGGTCCCCTAGTGGGGAGGGGCTATTCTGAGGGTTTAAACTAACTGTTGGGTTACAGGTCACAGGAAAGGCTCTCGGCAAGGAGCTGGAAAGAGTCCAGAGCCAATGCCAGTGTTCCTCTGCACACCCTTCCTCCGGGGGACTGCCTCAGTTTGTCCAGTGCAGGATCCTCGGGCCAAGATAATGGACAGCCAACCGAGGCCAGATGGACACTGTGACTCTGATACCAGGAAGGGAAGGTTGGCCTGCCTGATGTATTCCTTAACAAAGCGCCCAGCAGTCTCTTTGAAAAATGCCACCAAGTCTTCCTTCTGATTTTTTCTGTTACAGGCTTCAGACAACAAGGCAGTATTCACACTCACCACTGTAGGTGTGGAAGGTAGCTCCAGACAGGAAGAGGAGGTAGAGAGACTTTTGGTGGGGGGTTGCTAAGAAGTGCTTGGGTTGGGACAGATTGTGGGGGGAAGAAGGAGAGGACATGGTATGTTGGGGAAACCTGAGAGGGGCAAAGGGGTTTCTCTCACAAAATTCTAAGTTAAAAGGTCAATTGAAGCTAGTGTGCAGAGAACCTGGCATGCCACATACAAAAGGTTAGACTAGCTGGTTCCAAATGAGGAGCAATTTTTCAAAACATGAAGAATTATTTTACAATTTAGAAAGGGAAGTTGATGTAAGTTAAAGCTGCTGAATTTGAATTTTCACCTTGATAAGCACCAAGGTTATACACTACTGTCATCTAGATCTGATATCTGCGGTGTCAACGTGTGGGTCTGAATGGCAATAGTCTGTTGGTTTCATCTTGCTAGCCCCAATGGGTCTATGACTGCACAAAGCAAGGGGCCCTCTGGGCCTCATGGACATCCGTTCTGCAGACTCCTTTCTCCTCTCTCAGTTTTTTGAGACAGGGTCTCACCAGGCAGCCCAGGCTGGCCTCAAACTCGTTATATAGCCCAATCTGGCATGGAACTCGGTGATCCTCCTGCCTCAGCCTCCCAAGTTCTGGAACTACAGGTATGAATCACCACACCACATCTGCAGATTCTCATGTTCTTATATTAAAAATAGCTTCCGGTTGAAGGCCATGGGCATTCCCAAGGAGCACAGCGCCTCCTTCTGTGTCCAGGAGGACTAAGCTTGTTCCTTCTCTGCCACCTGGGAACATCGAGGCCAGAAATGAAGGCCTAGTGCAGATTTGGAGATTGCTGAAATTTTTTTTAGCTTTCTTTAATAGGTTTGTGGAACTATACTAGACATACAATGGACTATACAGCTTTAAAGTGTATAAATGGATGGGGTTTGACACGTGTCTATACCTGTGAAGCCATCCCCACTATCAGAACAGTGAACACCTCCATCACCCCCAAAAGCAGCCTATGCCCCCCAGTAACTGCTCCTTCCTGATCTTCCCTGTGCCTCTCCTCACAATCACTGCTTTGCTTTTTGCCTGTATAGATTACTTGGATTTGCTATAGTTCTGTATAACTGGACTCATACAGTTTATGTCTGGTCTTTTCACGCAGTATAATTATTTTGGGGTTCATCCAGCAGTGCTTGTGTGTATATCAGTACTTCATTTTTTTTCTTGCCAAGTAGTATCCCATCGAATAAATGGAGCAGAACACCTACTTGATACCTGTTAATGGACAGCTAGTTTGTTTCCGGTTTGAGGCCATGACAAATAAGGTTGCCATGAACATGTGTGCACATGTTTCAGTACACAACTATGTTTTTATTTCTCTTGTGTATATAACTAAGGGTAGAAATGCTGGGTCATATGATAACACACTGTGTTTAAATTTTGAGGAACTGTCAAACTGTTTTCCCAAACAGTTGCACTATTTTATGTTCATACCAGCAGTTGTATGAGAGTGTCAGTTTCTCCACATACTCACCCACATTTGCTATTATCTTGTGGGTGGGATGTGCTATCTCACTGTGGTTTTCACCTGAACTTCCAAGATAGCCAAAGATATTGAGCATCTTTCCATGCACCTGTTTGACCATTTACATATCTGTGATGAAATGCAGGTTCATCTCCTGCACATTTTGAATTGTCTTCTTATAAAATTGTAAGACTTCTAGACACATGCCCTTACCAGATACGTGTTTTGCAAATAATTACTTCCAGAGTGTGGATTTTTAATTTTATACTTTGTACTTTTTGAGCCATAAAGAAATCTTTGCAAAACTCAAGTCACTAAGACTTTATCCTATCCTTTCTAATGAAAGTTTTTTCATGGGTTTTTTTGTTCTCTTTGTTAGTTTATCTTTTGATATAGGGTTTTGCTATGTTGCCTAGGCTGGTTCCAAACTCCTCATCCTCCTGCCTCAACCTAGAACTACAGACATGCACACAATACCCAACTCTGAACTCCTGTTAAACTAAGATAGTGCCCCCTCTTATTTCACAAATATTTTTAAATAACAGATAAATAAATCAAAGGGTGATAGAGCTTCAGGTACAAAGACTACATACATGTTCTGAACACTTTATGAGCTGTGTGACTTCAGGTAACTTACCCAACTCCTCTTTTCCGTAATAAAAGACCTTACAGTGAGTGACAGTGGGGATTTCCCACATCACAAACACACCTCACACCTGCCAACTAAAGAGTGGACTCAGCAAGTGCTCAGGCTGGAAGGGATCTCACAGTCCACACAGCCACCTCCACGCCATTCAACGAGCCTGATCCGAAGAGGAGGACAGTAGGGGCTTGTCCCAGGCAAGAATGCTTCTCAGGTGTAAATGACCCCCCAGAGATACCAGCTCTCCTCCCTTTGCCCCAACCAGCAGACGCCCCTGACCTCACCTCACAAATGTGGGGAAACCTGGGAGTCTGGTTCCAACTACATGTAGTCAGTCAGCACATGAGGGCTTTCTCACTAAGAGTATAAAATAGTCCATCCTTGTGATCTTAGCAACTACACTGTCACCGGCGTCACAAGAGCTCCAGCCCTTTCTATGGCACCTGCAGTTTACCTTCCAGAGCAGAGCCTTAATCCACATCTGGCTTGCTCTCTGACCTATGAAGAAGTGAGTGAATGAGTGAATGAATGAATGAATGAATGTGGCAACAAAGAACATGTTAGAACCCAGACACCAACATGACTTCACGAGAAAGCTGAGGTTGGGAGTGTGTTGGACTCAGAGAAAGGAGGTGTCCTAGACAACTCGAGTCTGCTGTCCTGGGTGTAGGGGTCCCCGCTGAGCAAGGAAGCGCTCTAGTCCTCCTAATTCCCAGAGCCAAGATGATGGCTCAAGGAGAGTCCAGAAATGGGCTGCAGGAGGCCAAAGCGGGGGTCAGTTAGGCCTGGAGCTCACATGATTGGGGAGATCCACATCTAAAATCACAAGACACCGAGTGTGACTGTGAACGTTTATTTAGAATGAGAATGAAATTCAAAACGAGTCTTCAAAAGTGACAACCGCAAGGGTCATAATCTCTGACCTGCTAGGGTTTGGAGGTGCATTTATCCATTTTCCTCTATGTATAATGTGGTACAGTCTCAAGTATGGTGGGGCAGAAGTTCAAGGTGAAAGACACGATGGCTTTCTTGTGACTCCAGACGGCTACTTTGCTAATTTTACAAAGACCTGCCACTTGAACACATAGCACAGCGCCATGAGAACGGAGCAAATGCCCTCCGGATCCTATTAAGCCCTTAGTGTTTATTTTCACAGGCAGTTGTAAACATAAACCAGCTCTCTCACATTTATTCTCCAAAAGCATCCTGTTTCCAGGGGGTATCAGGATCCGTGGGCTTCACAGCACATCATTTAATGGAGTACATAAATTATGTCCAGAAAGGGGCCACATTGAACAGAACGGAGGCTGTTTCTAGAGGCTGTTCTCCAGTTTGCAGCCCCAGATATCATGCACTGCACGGGCAGCATGACCGGCCGGTGTACATTTCTACTGACTGACCCGCGTGCATAGGTGCTGTGGGAAGGTGCCCAGCTTGGCCCTTGAACAACAGCTAAAGCTCAGGTGACTTGAAACAAACGACCTCGTCTGAGGGGATTCAGGATCCAGGAGAAAGTGCTTGCTTTCCAGCAGTTTGTCCTCAGTGGATGGGCTTCTCGGCAGCCAGCCGGGACTCCCAGGTGCAGAGTAGCTAGCCCCTGAACAGGCTGACCGGGTGCATTGCACTTGGGGACAGAAGGCCATGGGAAGAGGACCCAGTGGCCTGTGATGAAGACAGCCAGTGGCCTGTGTGCTTCAGGAAGCCGGTCAGCCCTTGAAGGGCCGTTCTCAGAGGTGGAATTTCAGGGGCACACGGAGTTAACAATCCAGGCTGACAAACGGTCACTGCACGCTGATGATTCCCCCACCCCGTATGGACAGCAAGCAGCAGATCCAGGAACCCAAAGTGGGTGTTTGAAGATGTACCGGAAGGCACTGAAAACCTATCCCTGCCGCTGGTTTCAACCCTCAGAACTGTTTTTTTTTTCTTTTAAAAAAAGTAAAAAAGAGGCCTAGCAGGGAAAACTCAGGAATTATCTTAAGAAAGAGTCCAACAGTTTATATCCATGTGTCTCCGGAAGAATGAAAGATCCAGAGGTTTCTGGGAAAACATAGACAAGGTCTGCAAAGTTTTTTGTTGCTGAATAGCTGACACCAGTGCCTTTTTGTGTAGCAAGCAAACAGGCACACATCTTACTGGCAAATGCCAAGTGTGTCAAAGGTGAAGTGATGATGAGAAGCAGTGGTGTTTTCCTCAGAGACTCTGGCCAGCAGGCCTCCGGCAGGTTAGATGGACATAGAGCGGTTGCAGTCTTTGGACCAAATACTTGGGGAAGAGGTTGGGAACAAGAACTGTCAAGGAACGAAGGAGGCCCACACAAAGGAAGGGACACGAAGAGGGGGATCCAAACAGAACAGAGACTCAAATGTGCACAACACGGGTACATGGCACGGAGAGGGGGTGACACATTTCCAACAGACAGACAGGCATGCCACCTGGTGAGGGAAGCGAAGGGACCCTCTCCTAGGTTAGCGGTGCAGGAGGAGACCTGAAGGACTGATTGGCGGTTGCTGATCTCCTCCTCCTCTCCTTTAAGATATTCTTGTCAAATAGCTCTTTCTCACGCCTGTGCACAGGTGGCCCTTGCAGATACTTCTCTTCTGCTTCCTTGTAGTCCACTCCATCCAGTTCGGCAATTGACCAAATGATTGCTTCTGGCAGCAGAACTTCCACCACGAATCTTACTTTGTCGCCCTTCATCATAGCGAGTATGGTCTCGTCTGTGTGCTCGTAGATCTTTTGTAAATGTTTGACCATGGTGAACAACTGATCCTCGTCCTCCAGGTAGGTCTCGATGCAGAGCATGCACTTGCTTGTCTCCAGAAAGGATGCCAGCCACCTGGACGGCTTCCAGCCCTTCACGATGTCCAGGAGGTGGGGTCGGCCCCCTTTCTCCTCACGATGAAGTCCACCAGCTTCTGGTTGTGTCGGTCACACGCGGCCCTCATCCGGTCGGGGAGAAGTTTCTTGCAGGGCCCCTTCCTGCCCAGGAATGTCTTCTCCTCCTCCTCCTCCTCCTCGGAATCGTCCAGCTCGGCATAGTTCACCTTGGGGAAGTCACCCTCTCGCAGGTCACCCTCTTGGATGGCTTTCCGAATTGGGTAGCTGGCGTCGGTGGCGTAATAGTGCAGGAAGGGGCCTGAGAAAGATCCCCGGGCCACCCCTTCCCGGTAGTGGGCAATCAGCGAGAAGCACCAGTTCAAGCCCTGCAGGTGTGCTCTGCTGGCTCGCCTCAGGAGCTTGAATCTCTCATCGCAGTGCAGGGGCTTTAATCTGCGCAGAGGGACGCGGATGCCCCTGCAGTCCCCGCGCAGGCTTGCCTGGATCAAGAGCACCCTGGCTGTCTGGGTGGCTTTGTTCACACTCTTGACCACGGCCGGCCAAAACGGATGATCCTGGAATTGAAACCAGACCATCGCTCCTCTGTCAACGGCACCGGGCTCCTGGCCAAAAGCCCTGCTCACGGTTCGCCCGTCTAGTCCACCGCAGAGCTTGGGAATGCTGGCGAAGGTCTGAGCAGCCTTTGAGCGCACCTGAGGTGCACGCTCTGCTCGTCCTCTCTCAAAGGCTGGCAGCTGGTGCTTCCTTTTCCTGTTTGCAATCCGGAGAGAGTAATGCAGGCTCGGGTTCTGGGACTCGGGCGACTCCGCCGCCCCTTCCAAGCCTGGCTCCGAGGCCCCCTCGCCAGGGTCCTCCCCCATGCTTCTCAGGAAGGTAGTGCTCCCTTGGGGCACAGGAGCCCAAGTCCCTGGCCAAGGGTCCCAGGCCTCTTCCTTCAGAGCTTTGGGCCCGGTGGGGGCCTGCTGCTCCTCCTTAGCCCACACGCCCTCCCCCACCACGGGGGGACTTGAGGGCACAAGTGTGGAGGGGCCCGCCTTGTTCTTGCCCTGCTGTTCACCAGCAGCTCCTAAAGGTGTCAGGGAGTTTGCGGGCGCACTGGTACTTTGGGATGCCTTTGCTTGCATTTCGGCTGCACCAGGGCTGACGGCTGTGTGCACCTGGGCTGCCCCACCAGGCGGGGCATCCTCCTTCTCTGGAAGCCGCACCAGCAGGGATCTTGGGCCTCCCCTTTGCCCAAGCCTCCTACGGAGGGTCCCTTTCTGTTTCCTATGTTTCCTGGGACGGCGAGGGTATGGGCACGGGTGGGAGCAAGGGCAAGAGCTGGCACAGAGGCAAGCACGTGGGCGAAGGTGACCACGAGGGCGAAGGCGAGGGCCTGAGTGGGCTGGCTCTGCCGGTCCCTTTGGGGACGCCAGAGGGGTCCCGTGCTCCTGCGGTGTTCTTTCTTGACCCAAGGCCATTCTCCCGTGCACAATCTCCAGTGCCACTCTAAGGGCCTTTCTGTACACCCTTGTTTGTCCTGATGGGGCAGTGTCCTTCCATGTGGCGACTCCTGGTGGGTCAGTGGCTGCCAAGGGCATCCCTGCTGAGGAGGCCAGGGCTTCAATTCTAGACACACTGAGGGCCGTGATGTCTGTGCTGTTCACTTGGATCTTTTCATCTGTGGAGAGGACTTCAACTTCTAGGGGAAACAGCCCTCCCCTATCACTTGTTGCTGAAGTCCCCAATCTGGACAATACCTTTGCTGGCCACAAGTGGCCTTTCCATCTGCACAGGACGTACTCGGCAGCGTCCATCGTGACTGGACTCGTGTGGCAGGAGGTGATTAAGAGAGCCTGAGGCTCCTGGCTGCCATAGTCACTTCTACTGCAGCTCACCCAGCTCTCCTCTGGCCTAGGACCACTGGGGCTCGCAGCCTGCTTCAGCTCTCCTCCCTCCTGAGTCTGCCGAGACACCTGCACATGGGGCGTCAGTGGGGATGCAGGAGTGCACTGGAATTTGGAGAAGGGAAAGCAGAAATGTGTCAGAAAAGAATCTCCCTTTTGTGGAAGGTAGAAGCCCCCTGCTCAGTGAGATTGAGAAGAGAGAAAATAGGGAAATACAAAAATGTGTCCTCCAGAGAGAGGCAGGCAAATGGCACATCCTTGGGGCAAACATACAGAAGGCACCAGAGGAGCGAGCTCCCATACCTCTGCAAACCCTACTTGTTCTTCCAGCTGTAAACACTGCACACCGGACAGCATCCTAGTGGGACCTGCAGGTGGCCGTCATGTCAGGGGCCCATTTCTCGTACTGCACGCTCGGAGCCTGTGGCTTGGCTTGGGCTTGCCCCCTGGAGGGATGCTTCCATGTTTTCTTTCTTGGGGTGCTACTTCTGCCCCGCCCACCCCAGGAAGCCTGAGGACATCTACTGCACACATGCACTGGGCATCAGGGAGATGCCATATTCAGAGGCAGTGAGGAGCAAAGGAAACGGCACCCCGAAAAGTCAATGGGAAATGCTGGTATGCGAATGATTGTTACGTGGAAAAGGCTTACCCGGGGTCACGTGGATCCCAGCAGGCTGGTTTCTGAGCTGGCTCTCTGGACTGCCAGGCTGCGGCTGCCTGTCTGTAGACCCTTCGTCCCGCTCCGGGCCTCTGACCTGCACCGTTCTTCCAGGGATTCAGGGCCCCGGGCCCCCAACCTGTTCCCTCTAACGTGAACCTGGAAGATCCAAAACAGATGGGAAACCATTGCCACTTAAGGGATGACCGAGTGCTGGCTCTCCCTCTCCCAACTCCAGAGCACATGCTTTGTGAAAGCGAAGTCAAATGCTAATCCCATCCATAACGGAGATGTCTAGTTTCTTCCCGCTTTTGCATCTCACCGCAGTTCCACCCCATTCCCTCTGCTTGTGGAGGCTGAAGGCGAGTCTCTGCCCTCAGAACAGTGGGGCCTCCTCCTTTCAGACAGCATCTACCATGGACGTGTGGCTTTCCTACTAGCAGTCTAGGTGCTGTGTGTGCGCGCGAGAAACAAAAGCAGGGTTTCTCTGATTCTCGAATAACGTCAGCTGGGCTTGCAGAGAAGATGAAATGCACAGGAAGAAAAATAACGGGGTCTACACACCACAGCATCACAGCCTCTCCCTCTTACTGTGAGGATGTGGGTACTTCCAAAGCACGGCCTCTACGTCCCACTGCACCCTCATACACAGGGCACGTGAGGCCAGAGTTCCTAACCCAGGAGCACACTGGGACACATCTCCTTGTGAACGCCTGTTTTCCTGCATTAGATCTGGGAATGTCTTTGCCCCAAGGTTCCCGTAAGTTTTCCAAATCATATCTGCCGAAAATTCCAACACTACAGAAACGCGTCTGTAAACCTAGCTACTTGGGAGGCTGAGATGAGGAGAATCAGGGCTCCAGGCCAAGTTTGTGAGACCCCTTCTCTAAAATAACCAGAGCAAAATGGACTGCAGGTGCGGCTCAAGTGGTAGAGCACCTGCTTTGCAAGCACAAGGCCCTGAGTTCAAACACCAGTACCACCAAAACAAATGTAGAAGACAGACCACTCTTCTCTGCCCACCTTCTCACCCCTAAACACTCAGTTGGATGCATTCCACTTTTCTCTATTATCCATTCACTGTACAAACGTGTATGATAATTCATTGCTATGTTTCGGGTCATGACTACCTGGCTGTGAAGAAGTTGCTTCCTACATAAATGCATGTATGCATGTCTTTGGTCGCATACGCTCGTAGGTGTAATATGAAAAGTCTGATGAGGGAGAAATAGACTCACTTGGGGAATAATGTGCAATAAACCTTTCCTGGATGAGTGTGTGTGATCGGACAGGTTTGGCGGGCTCTGATTGAGCACACAGAGTACTGGGCTGTCAAGCACAGATGTGGGTCATCTGAGGACACACAGCAAGAGTGAGAAGGAATAACAGGTGACTCAGCTGCTTCAGTGTCCCCTCATCCAGCTCGCCCAACTAAGCCGGCGTGCTCAAGCACCCAAAAGCCCACCACACCCCAAGTGCATACACACGTGCACACACACACTGTTAGAAATACAAGATGCCCGGCGTGCATGTGTGCAACACATGCTTACTGCCTCCACACAGTCCCGCATGTGTTTCTGCTTCCAGCGTGCATGTTATTCTTAGCTGATTTTGAAATCCTACAGGGAAACCCTGTACAACATTTACACATATTATCTCAACTAGCAAAAACCCTTGGTCCTTCCTAGTATGCCTTATGCTCTCTCTTCAACAAAATTTGAGGTAAGAGTAATATTTATATATACAAAATAGGACGGCTATTAGGACGGCTATTAAGCAATTGTAATTCAATCACACAGGAATTCTTTTGCAGGTGTGAGTCCACAGGCTTCAGGAATTTTATTCCATTTATACATGTATATTTCTGTAAGGTACTTACAAGGCCATAAATTTTTGCAACCTATTTAAATAGATTCAGAATTACCATTTGGCCACATCTTTTCAAGTATGAAACACTTTAACAGAGTACTTTCAACAGGCAATCAAAATGCCATTGACAGTTATTTTTCAGGTTACAATGGCAATACCTCCTGCAGAGGGACAACAAGAGGGGAATGTGCTAGATCAAATTATTAACTGCTCCTCTCACCACATACTGTGGCCCATGCCCAAACACCTTCTAATGGGCATGCGTAGAGCCCTTGCTTGTGCTGTTCTGCTCATCCTCTCTAGTGATGGGGAGACAGCCGTCTGCTCTCCCTCAAGAGAGATAGATAGGTAAGTAGGCAGATGGATGAAAGGGTGGGTAGACGGATGGATGGATGGAGCTACGGACAGGAGGAGGTATGATAGGTAGGCATGCAGATGTAGAGTTAATGGAGAGTCAGAGATAGAGGGGTGTGGTGTGTGTGTGAGAGAGACAGAGAGAGACAGAGACCTACACAGAGAGAGACAGAGACCTACACAGAGAGAGAAGGAGACAGAGAGAGAGAGAGAGAGAGAGAGAAGACTGACTGGTTGAGATACAATGGGTCTGACAGAGTCCCACAGTCAGGGAGCAGCAGGTAGTAGTAGACTGAGAGCTGAGAGACTTCAGTACCCTGGACCTAGAGGCTGCTTCTCCCTAAGGCACAGATCCTGACAAAGACCCCAGCAGCATGTCGCACAAAGCCTAGGCTTTTCTGTGGTAGAAGAGACTGACACCCCAGCACACAGTTCCACAGGCCCACCCAGAAAACTCAGACCCTTCGTGAAGGTGCTTATGCCATACCGATTTAGCTTAATCTACTGAACAGCAATTGCGGTGTGCTGACAGGGAGGTAATCCGTCCTCTCATTCCCGACCAGCCTCCCAGGATCAGCCCTGGGTTAGGCCCATTACATTACACGGGATCTTCCAGTCCCAGCCGTTTGTCCCATTACTCACTGCCTTCAAGTTTCACACTCAGATCACGCGCACACGGAATAACTTCCTGCGATAAGGCGTTGTGAAATGAATAAAGTAGCCGTCGTCAAGGGCACACACGACAATCCTTGCCAAACAGAGGCATAGACCCAAAAATACTTTGGGGGACCCTGGCTTTACAGAACTCAGGTGAAAAGGCCTCACACATCAGGTGTCACCTCAGGACGGTGAGCCGGGCCTGGGTGATGACGCCCTTAGTGTCCCATTAAAGAGCACACACACCACTCCCAACTCCCAAAACACACTCACGTTCACACTCACTCACCTTGACAGCAGATACCTACTCGTCCTCAGGTTTCTAGTTACTCCATCTCTCCAGTCTGTGAATGTCCTCGTGATACGTGCCTGCCACCAGGAAGGAATGGCTTGCCCCGGTTGCCACAGAAACCAGAGTGTCATCCAATCATGTCCTTGAAGTGAGCTTTCTATGGAAACCAGGAAGTGCTCATACACCTTCTGAGACACCGTAGATGGCTGCTCTCCATCTCAGTCAGTTACACCTGATCCAGTCCAACGAATGAATGAATGCATGAATGAAGTATCAGAGACATTCCCGAAAATTCTCTACACAATAGGCATTGTGAGCAGGGAGTTGTCACAAAATGGACTTTGGAGAAAGGAAAGTCAAGGGACAACAGGTTCTGTTTTCCACAGAGAGGCAGACTCAGGATCCAGGTCCTGAGAGGGATTCCCTTCCACCTGCCAGAAGACAAGAGGTCAGCTGCCCTTGTGCAGATGGGATCAACAAGGCCTTTTGGTCACTTTAAACTGACCTTCAAGCTGGGTATGGTGGTGCACTCCTGCCACCCCAGCACTCGGGAGGCTGAGGCAAAGGAGTGTGGTGTTCGAGGCCAGCCTGAGCTACACAGGGAGACAAAATATAAATAAATAAATAAATAAATAGGGTAAATGAATGACCCAAGTGACCTGCAGAGCAGAAACAAAGCACCTGTATGCCAGAAAAACGCAAAGCCAAAAGTCAGGGTTTGGCACGCCCAACGGACTGTGAATCTACACTTGGTCCTGGGTGTCTCCATAGGAGGCTCAGCACATGACATTCATTGCAAAGAGAAGCGCCCGAGACCTAGGATTTTGGAGGCATGGGGCTAAACCTCTCCCACTTGGGATCTTCTCAGTACATTCACCTGAATCCACTGGGCCCGTGCCTAATTCGCTCCCACAAAGGTCACTTATCACTGGGTCACAGCACACACCTCCTGCCTGGAGTCTGGCATCCATGATAGAGAGCACTGACAGGGAGAGAGAGGTGGGAGATGGGGAGAGAGAGGTTCTGAGATGCACCCCTTCAGCCCTGCCCCTCTCCGTAGTAGAGCCAACGTGCTGT